TTTATAGAGATAGAGCTTCACTAATTTCAATCTTGTACTCTCGCTCTCTCGTATCGTTGTATTATTATCACGGTGTAAGAATATAAGGTGGTTGCACGGCAACAAATTTTGTGATTTTCCTGTCATTGTTCCACATTGAACTAGGTGGCTACGTGTTGAGCGACTTGAAATATATATATATATATACATATATAGAAATTTATTAAAATTTTATTGTCCTGCGGAACTTAATTATAAATATTCATTTTACTTAAAAAACTTAATTTTCTATAAAGACTGGAATACATTATTAATTATTTTTCTGTAAATTTAACTAAGAATAATTTGTTATAACAAAATAAAAAAATATTTTGTCAGTAATATATATTTTTATACACAATGTTAAAAGTTTATTTAAAAAATTTGTATTATTTAGGACTAAAATTATATATAGATGTGCTTTAGAGATTCATTATCTATCCTTTTCTATCCACATCTATCCATATCTTCTTATTTTTACTTGGGATCTTGCACCAACGCGACATCTTGTGTGACATGCCTTAACTATGACATCTTGGGGCGGTATTCATAGTCCGTTCTTATATTCAAGATCGTCTTAAGCACGAACTTATATTCGCTCTCTTCGTCAGACACAATCTATGTGTGACGAAGAGAGCGAATATAAGTCCGTGCTTAAGACAATCTTAAATATAAGAACGGACTATGGGCGGTATTCATAGTCCGTTCTTATATTCAAGATCGTCTTAAGCACGAACTTATATTCGCTCTCTTTGTCAGACACAATCTATGTGTGACGAAGAGAGCGAATATAAGTCCGTGCTTAAGACAATCTTAAATATAAGAACGGACTATGAATACCGGCCTATGAATACCGGCCTTGATCACAGATTTTTTGATAGAATACAATGGTCGTGAAACCTTAGAACATATATACTGGAAGGGGCATAGCCTATCTAAATCATTGAGTAAAAAGAAACAGGAGGGAGCATATACTAGCCAGGACTAGGTAAATCCGCGGACGGATGTACGTCATGGCAGCCATCTTGAGCGACAACTTTTTGAAAGTGAGAGGGAATGTTCGAGCATTGCGGCAAGCGGCATACCGTACGCCGTACGCATTAATATGCAGTGTATAGTCTTTTATGCAACAGTGTATGGAAATAAACGATCAAAATGGTATACTGTAGAGCTTGTGGCATAACAGCAGCAGCTCGAAATCATGGGGCTTGTTCGTTTTAACTGCACTGGGGCAGCTCTGGGTCTGCTCTAAACAAGATAATACAGGACAAACTATTTATCTGTCCTGTATTATCCTGTGTAGAGCAGACCCAGAGCAGCCCCAGTGTAGCTAAAACGAACAAGCCCATGGAATAACGTTTCATCAGTTAGTATTATCAACAATAATGAGATTTTTATTTTGGAGATTATAATCATATGTATAGTATTGTGAAATTGTAGATTCACAATAATTACTAAATAATTTTTACTCACAAACAGGTTTCCGAAAAATCCGGATTAAAGAAATGCATGGATAAATTTTTGTAAGGACGAAGGATTTAATATAAATTTAGATTTTAGATTTTAACATTGCTCTTATGGAAATACTGCACGAGTGCAATCTCAATGAAAAATGCCATTAAAATTTGGTATTATTGTTGCATATTATAGTTATTTTCTTTTAATTGTACATTATTTCCTAATTGAACATAACAAGTCATTCAATATTGGCACCCTTGAGCGACCACTTTATATAGTCACTTCCGTCCGCACTTTTAAGACCAAACGCTCCCTCCTGTTTCTTTTTACTCAATGGCTGTGACATGGTTACACTCGTGTAGTGGTGTCACTAAACATAACGAGTGACAAGCGTAAAGAGATTAGGCGGTTTTATTATTGTTGTACTATAAATTTTATAAAATACTTTAACTTTTATTACTCTGAGGCTCTGCATATATAGTAGACAAAATATTAGAAATAGCAATAATCATTTAATATTAAAGAGAAATTATTTTACATCTAACAAGAGAATAAAATATATATTAATTAGTTCCAATTCTTATTTCTTAATTCATGCATTAATTTTTTCTATTCTTTTTATTTTTAAAATAAATAAATCCAATTTTTTATTTCTAATATTTAATAATTATTCCTATTTCTATTTCCTATTTTGTTTATTGTGCGCAGGATCTGACTTTCATTTCTCACACATACGCAAATAGTGAGTTCTATGTGTGGTGATTACTAAACGAATATGGCGGCCTCCCCCCGCCGCAAACGTGCTCCCCCGGTACAGCTTGTGCTCCGTCCCTCTATTCCTTAGTCCGTGAGGTCACACAAATGCCTTGACATATGAAGTTGCCGAGTATCAAGGCATATCGAGTCGGCGTGTTCCGACTCTATATATTTTTACATCATGATTGTGACATCCGGCAACGCTGTTGTGGCTGTGTGAAAGCAGCTGGGGGTCGATTGTGTATTTCAAAACCTAGTGAAAATAACAAAAGTGAACATTCACTTGATTGTGTAAATTTCACTATAATGAAAATGCGAATTATTTCACGTGAGATTATTCGACAAGTATTTAGATGTCGAATTCAGTCAAATTGTGTCGAATTTGCATCGTATTGTGCAGTCTCACGGAGCCAGCGTATAAAAAATGGATTTGGTTATGTTGCAGGGAAGCAGCACACAAGCGAGAATCGCACGTGACGTAGACGATTTTTGCTTGCGTGCGTGCTTCCCCTGTCGCGATGCCATGGTGTCAGCGGTTTCGAGTTTGCATCACCGGAGTAAGGTAAGATTTAATATATTATACACTTGAAAATTGCGTGCTACATTTCATTAAGTTTTTAAATTTTTATTAAATTTAATTTTTTTCTAGTAGAAAGAGACAGAAGTTTATCGTGAAGAAGTGAATTTCGGCCTGTTGATATTAGGAT